TCTATGATATGTGAAGAAAAGGATATTATAAAAGGAAAATGTCAGCATCGGTGTCAGTCGTTCCGGCCTTTCTGCCAGCAGCCTTTGTGTGTGTCGTTTACTGTGCAGGCATCTCACTGGCTAAAACGAGCTGATGAGAAGGAAAAGACGTCGGAACTGAGCTTGATAGCGGTTTGAAAGAAAACCAACCAGGTGCTGGGGGGGCCACCTCACCTCGTCCAGGATTGGCGCAGCCAGAGCAAGGCCACAGCGCACAGCTGGCGAAGGAGGGGTCCGGGGGGGAGAGAGACATTTGATTGGCAGAAATTATACAGGATTTTAGGGCCTAGACAAACAAGGTGGTGTTAACAGTTTCATTCTACTCCCAGCAGGAAACTGGACTGTTAAGTAGGTAAACCAAAATATAAATCCAGTCATAAAGGTTAGACTCAAATTAGAACCTAATATAATCATTAAATGGGACAGGTAAAACAATGAACACATGGTATTCAGACGTCTAGAACTCACCCCTCCGTAAAAAAAACAACAGGTCCATGGGCACCAAGATGAAGTTTAGGTCCCACTGGACGAGCGGACTGAGGACCCCGATTTGCTTCCTGCTTTGGTCAGCACTGATCTGGAAGCTAGAGAATGCCTGGCAGGTAGGAGGCAGCAGTGGAGGAAATGGGGAACTAACTAACCATCCTGACTTCAGCTCTGCAAGTCCAAGGTCCTAGCAAAGCCTCCAGTCCAGGGAAACCAAGAAGTCTCGTCATCCTGCCGCCAAGTAAATTCTAATTTTCTAAGGTAAATGTAACACTCATAATTCACTTTGTTACCTTGGACCCTTGTTAGGTCAATTAAAAGTATTACTTTAATAATGCTTAAATGATTAGAGATTCATGATTTGGAAGTATTTCCAGAAATTTGCATAACTTTCTTATTTATAGATTGTGGACCAAACCTAATTGTAGGCACACATTAGGTGTAATTGTGGGCTATAGATACATATTTTTTTGCAATTCCACTATTCAAAAAAATGAAAAAATATTTTTTTGGCTTTTGGTCAGTGTTTACTAGGTGGGTAAATTGTTGAAGAGCTATGGGACACCTGCAGTGACAATGCTCATTGAAACTCAAGGACAAAACCTTGGAGAATGTTGTGAATGAGCCTCGAAGTGGATGAATGAACCCAGAACCACAAAACAGTGGGAAACACAAAGGACTCCCGGACAGGTGCAGAATAACCTGTGTTGTCGAACTTGAGGGCTGTCACGTTATTTACAACACTTCTAAAGGAAACCAGTTCCCCTTGAGGCCTATTTCAGCTCTTGTTTTATAATTCTGCTATAAACCACTAATATTAGAATTTTTTTCTGGAAAATTCTTCTGAAAATGGCTACCTTTTAAATAAAGCTAATTTCATAAAACCTACTGATATGCCTAGGAACTCGGGACGCATTCCTCTAAATTGTGAATCTGTAATTATGCACTCTAGGTTCTAAGTTACATAAATGAAAATCAAAGGCTAACTGAACCTAAAAGACTGGATTACCGCTTTCAGAAAACAGCTACATGGGACTCAGGAATGCAGACTCGCAGCGCCCTCAAAGGCAAACATTTTTCCATGACTGGTGCTCAAAAGAAACCCCTTCACCAACTCCACATCGCACAGTCTGAGGAAGAAGGATTAAAACTTCTACAGGAGGCAACTGTCCTGAAAAGTTACAGTCCAATCGCTTGGGTCTTAACCAAGAGATGTCTCAATTCTATTTACTATGGTTGGAAAGCCTTTTGGAAAGAAATTAATAGGAAATCAGTACATTTATTCTAAAGTAGTTAGCCAGGAAAAAAGAATTAAAGGAAAATCTATTTTTAATGTCTGGGTCAAGCTATTTTACTTTAAAACAACTGCAGTTCTTTGGGGGAAGAGACTGCCTGGGTTCATACAACCCCTTTGTAACTGCTATCAGGGCTCTAATTCTTACACATTTCAACCATGTCTTAGGATCAAACAAAGAAATAACAAATAATTTACACAAACTTCTTAATCGTAATACTATTCATTTAGAAATTCAGCAAGTGTTTGGTAGAGGAGAATACAAATATAGTTTTATTACAGTGTCTTGCCTGATGTTCTATTTTATGAAATCATGAAATCATGACATTCCAGGAGCCGTTGGACAAAACAGTGCTATAATCAAAGTTAATTTTTAAAAACAGAAAAAAGGCTTTTTTTTTTAGGAGCTTAAAAATCATGAGGAGCTATACACATAACATATACAACTATAGTAACAGTCCTTGGAAAGGTGACAGGTAGAATTAGCCTTGGAAAATGAGACAAGTGCTTCCAAGGACTCTGGAGATCTACCCAGACGAGGCTTTGGGCCCACAAAATTATGACCCGTGTGTAGCTTTAGAGGCAGACAGAGCATTTTAAGGAGAAGCTAACATAGGCGCTCCCTTGAAACACAAAACACGACAGGGCATCCTGCACACATTAAACTCAAATCCCCTTCCTTGCAAGCAGAGCCTAACCAACAGGAGACAAAGGCACCAAGAGGCAGACCGTGGAGCAGAGCTTCGCTTTCCGGCTAACAGAGCACCTGGACTAGGACCCAGGCTCTATTTCCCGCCCGCTCCCATCAAGGCCCCGCCATCCTGTCTGTGCCGGTCCTGTCCCTCTCCTGGGTGTCCACCTGTTGACTTTTTTGTTAGATTTTAGGTGGCCGACCACTTGCCTCTAAGGTCTAGGGGTTCACGAAAATGGCAGAACTGAATAAGAAAAGCATTAGTAAGTTTTGCTATCGGTACTTAAGACAACAGAAAATTAAGAATTTTAAAAACTTGCTACTCAACGTGTGGTCCGTGTACCATCAGCCATCAGCAGGGAGACAGAAATGCAAATTCTCAGGCCCACCCAGACCTACTGAGTCAGGTCTGGGGTAGGACCCAGGTTTTAAAGAAGCTCCCCCGAGGTGATTTTAATGCTTGAAGTTTAAGTATTATTTTATAATGCAGTTGCACTGCCTCTTCGATATACTAGGAGTATGGGTAATAGGAAAAACCTATTTTATTTATTTTTTCTTGCTTAAGAATTCAATCGTTGAGTGTGAAGGTTATTCTGCTCTGTCACTAGTTCATGGTTAATCTTCATTTTACAAGTATAAATACAAAATATTTACGTGATACCTACTTATGTGTCAAGAGCCAGTAAGTCAGCAAAATAAACAATGAGACCAAATGTATGCTATAGAAATTCATAATTATATCCTATAATATACATTTGCCAGAAGCAAACCAAGTCTACATTTTAGACTAATTTCTACCATAAGTACTTTATACGTGTGTATGTGTATATGTGTATTTGTACATATATATGCGTCTGTGTAGATACACAAACAAATACATATATGCACACGTTCACACACACACGCACACACTCTTTTGGCCTTTAAGGAGCTAAATATATTGGGTTGTCGAGAAAGTCATGACACATTTTTGCAATGAAAAACATAGAAAAAATACATCATGACTTTTCTGACAACCCAATAGATGGTGCCAAAAAAATGTATACCTATTTTAAGAAAATAAAAAAGTGTTGGAGCTGGCCGAGTGGCTCGTTGGTTAAGAGTTGGCTTGGGAGCGCGAGCTCTGAGCCGCGGGGCCATGAGTTCAGATCCCTCTACAGCTAAGATGGTGAGCAACAGCTCGACCTGGAGCTGGGCTGCTGTGAGTCACCGGTGACAGTGTAGGCTGCAGCCACTGCTGCAGTGGGCTGCCATAAAGCTACTGTGAGTGGCCGGCAGCCGACGTGAGCGGCCGGCAGCCGACGTGAGCGGCCAAGAGCTGCCCTGAGCGGCCATCCAGGGCCCAGCGACTGATCTGCCTCACCCGGGAAGAGCGCAATGATCATACCAACATGGGTCAGTGAAGTGATGTCCTCCACAACTAGACTGAAGAACAAAAGGACACCAACTTGTCTGTTCCTTCCCCCAGATTTTTTAAAATCTTAAAAAAAAAAAAGTTAAAATTGTTAATATTCAATATATACCGATAACAAAAGATGAATACAAATCATGTGTACACATCTTTTTGGCACCCCGGTATCTGTAAAATACGGCTATACGGTGTCCTTAAGATTAGAGTTGGCCAAGGCTATACTTTTATTTCTTGAAGACACCGATTTATTCACGACAAAACACTACCAGCATTTCAACAATGGGCAGATGTTACTATTACTATGAAAACAGACTGCGCTCTCTAACCACAGACCCCAAGCTGAGGAATGCTGCCACCATCCCAGCTACACACCTGCCTACCTCATTCACGAAGAATCAGAGGACATTTACCAACTGTGTGCTGCAGCCAATTTTTTTTTAATGTTAGAACTTGGGAAATAAAGTTCAATCACTAAACACTGAATGAACAGATTAATAAAAGTGTTTTAAGGAGCATAAACTGTCTCACTTTTTATTACTATTTTTTTAAAAACAGGGAACGAAGGCCCCTTTTCAGCTCACTTTCAATTATCAGTGAATTCTTTACCAAATTCAGAAGGCCACTGTTCAGGACAGCGTGACTGATTAGATTACCTGAAGAGGACCTCAGGCTTTGAAGTTTAACCAGGATTCTCAGGAACCTATTTCATGTAGCACCTGAACTTCTACAGGAGCTGACTACCTGTTTACACTGTCAGTGCTGAAGGGCAAAGCTTCCCCGACCCTCCAACTCTGTCACTGGCTTCACCATCCTTTACTTGCTCTGTTCCTTCTTCCATGAGAGCAGAGCACTCAGAAGTGTAAGATTTCACAATGCCCTTGAATTTCTCCTACAAACCAAAATATGAAGGATGAGAGGAAGAAGAGGGAGGGAGGAATGGAACAGGACCAATTATTTCCTATCACTAAAATTTGATAAATTATCTGTGATGAAAAAAAGAGAAGTTTATTTTGAAATTATTTTAATTTAGAAATAGAAAACATCTTGGAAGGGGGAAAAAATGAGAGAAAAACACGAAATATGTAGGCAAACTTTTACTCCATGAGCTTCGCAAATCCTCACTTGTTCAGCAATCCCAAGATGAAAAACCCTCCTCTAAAAAGGTATTTCAGCCACCACTGCAAAAGAAAGAAAAATGGTCAATTGTGAGCGTATAAAAGATTTCTAAAATGATGATGATGATGTGAAATGCAGCATGCCATGATTTTATAGAACCAAAACCAGTTCTATGAGAACCACACCTACATTACCCCCAGACAGCATAAAAGAGAAGAAACTGAACTTAAAAATCCTGGCACTCAAAAGGTCTTTGGAGATGACGTGGCTCCTAGGACAGACTGATCTTAAAAACTCAGTCCTCATTGGGGAAACGTGTTCAACTCTGGCGTGATGTCTTTCTGAACAAGACAAGCAGTATGAACTCCATGACAGGACGGTAAGCCGAGAGTTTTTAATTTCACAGACGACAATATGCTAATTAAAAATAAAGAATGCCGACCAGCACAATGGTTCTCAACCACTACAGCACGAGAATCACCCCAACACCGGGTTGAATCATAATGAAAACAAAAATCACTTCCGATTATCAGGTCCTTAATAAATATCAGTAGATTCTAGCAGCATTAAAAAGTCAAGAGACATATCTGTGCGTTAATGAAATAGCAAGCTGTCAACCCAAATGTTTTCAGATTTCATGCCATTCTAGATATCGTCTATTTCAAAGTTTACTTACACAATGATGTTATTAATAGGGATATGGATCAATTTCACAAAAAAGCCAATAAATCCCATTATAGCAAATCCTATTGCTGTTGCCATGGCAATCTTCTGGAATTCTGGATGTAAAACAGAAAATTTACATTATTTTTGCAGTCTCATGGCAAGTATAGGGAAAAAATTAGCAGTGATATAATCTAACTGGTGTACATTTCTCCTGATAGTAAATATATAATTTTAAATAAAACAAAACGACATTATTAATAGCAAATAAACTGTTTGACGGATTTTTAAATTCTCACATTTTACTGATATTTAAGGAAACACAGAAATAAATGCATGCCCCTACTATTGAATCCATCAACAAGCAGTGAAATAGTTTATCTTCTTAGCAAATGACCAGAATACCAAAAATAAATAAGACATGGATAGAAGAAATACACGGTACTTGTCTTAAAATATTTGTAATATTGCTAAAAATATTGATTATAAAAGCACAGAACATCTTTTTATTAAAAAAATAGGCCACTGTCTTTGATACTATAATGAAGCCAAAAATAAGGCTTGAAAAATCAAGCTGAGTTGAGCACAATTTTATGTAAAGGTTTCAGAGCCTGGTAACGTTTCTGCCGAACGTTATTGCCTCGGGAAGCTTCCTGACTTGCAGGGTGCTCCTGTTATGTGCTGCCCAACCTTCCGTTCCTCTCCCGTAATACTTACAGCAGAAATTACAAATTATCATAGCCGTTATTTGTTTATGACTGCCTTCCCTGAAAGATTCTAAACCCGTAAGAGCAAGGACTATTCTCTATTATCTATTTTTACATATTATATATGAACGTATTGCATTCTCTTTTACACTCTCAGCTCCTAATCCAGGTAGCAGTCAATACGTGAATAAAAATAGACAAATTCTGGTGCACCTTTTAACACGTGAGTCATGATAAGTAAGAAACTATACTTTCTAGGCAAGCCACAACTGTGTTGTGGATTTCATGTTAAGGTTTTGTTTCGGAAGGCAGCAGAGCTGGGAGGCCTTCCAAAAGATTTTCCACAGTGAAAATATGGAGGATACTAAAAACTCTAGTCATTGAATATGACGAAAGCAACCACAGCGCGGAAAACAAGGGTGTCATAAATAATCTCACACTACTTGAAAATATCGAGTTGTCGGAAAAGTCACGACGCACTTTTGCAACGAAAAACAGAAAAAAATACGTCATGACTTCTCCGACAACCCAACACATAAAACAGAACACCGTATGAAGCGTACAAAGTTTAGGAAGAAGTGACAACCTCAAAAAGCAAATAAAGGAAAATAAATCAATAAAAATGCGGATGAAAGTAATGCAACGGTTACTAAAGAAGACGACATCATTAATCAAATAAAAGGCTTAGAAAACGCAAAGGTTTCACTTTTTCTCTCCTTTGAAAGCTGTTACCTTTTCTGTCAGGTTTGGTGCATCTCTTCACCAGCCGAATTGAGTCCTTCACAAACTGCCGACTTGGCTCAACAAACTGCATTACCTGATCCATGATGCTTTTTTAAAAAAAAAAAAGAAGAGATACGCACTGGTGTTACTGATCACAACAGCGAGGACGTGTTCGGGAACGCCCACGTGTGCCTGAGGCCCGCCCGGGGTCAGGCCCATCTCACACGACACAACGGACACGTGCCGACTCCGCGCCGAAACGGACACTAGTTCTGCCAACTCCAGCCCAGCAGCAGGTCACAGGCACGGGTTTCACGCGTGTGCTCATCGCCGACACAGGGCGCGCCCCCTGAATACGCGGGGGCTCCCACCAGGACAAGTGGAAGCGCACCTATCCTCGCCCACGTATAAACGTTCTGGGCCAAGGATGCCGGGCCCCTCCAAACACCCGCCAACGCCTCGGCCGTTCACCGCACTTGGTGCTTCAAATCCAGCGCGCTTACACTTGACAGGCGTCGCGGTGAACGCGAGGGGCACTTTCTCCGGGACAACCGCAAAAAAAGGAACCCTGCGCAAAGCCCGGCGCGGCCGGGCGGGGCAGCCAGGCGCCCACTCCGGTCTCCGGGTCCGGGAGCCGCGTCAGTCCTCCCACGTCGCACGCCCGGCGTGGCAGGCCCGACGCGGCGGGACACGGCGCTTCCCAGAGGTCGCCACGCACACACGTCCCCGAAGCCGCCCTCCCAGGCACCTCTGGCTGCAAGCGTCACCTCGGACGGCCGCACAGAAGAGCCCGAAAGCCCCCGAGAGCGGAGGAATTCACACAGAGGCGGCGGAGGACGAGCAGCCCGGAAGCCGAGACCGGGGCCCGGGCTTTCTCAGGCCCCGGAGGACCGAGGGACTGCGAACCCCGCCTCCCTGGGCTGTGTGTGGGGCGGCACGGAGGGCCGGACCCTGGTCTCGGGCCGGAGCGAGGAGCCCTGCTCCCCTCCCGCCTGCGCGCGAGAGCCGCCCGGGGTCGCCCGCCGGCCCCCCACGCCCGCCGCCTCCGCGAGTCACAAAGGCTTCGCCCCGCGCCCGCCGAGAGACGCAACCTCACCTGGCCGCCGACACCTCCGGTACCAGGGACACGTAGCACAGCGGCGCACCGACCAAGGCCCGCCGGAACCGGAAACCGGGTCGCTGGCCTAAAGCCCGCCCACCCCTCCGTCCATTGGTCCTTTACGCGGAGACTTCAGTGCGCAGGCGCAGCGCGACGTGTGTGTCGGCACGGCTTCCGGGAAGAGGGCCATTTAAGGGATAGGTGACGGGCGTCCTGCTGGGTCTTGGCTTTCTTGTGCAGTTTTTGTTTGGCTCATACATCAAAGCACATGTCTCATCCTCCTTCTTTTGCGATGTTGTCAGACACGACGAGCACCGTGTAGATCATGGGCTGGCAAACTATGGCCTATGGGCCAAATCTGAGCCCCTGTCTGTAACTGTAAATAAAGTTTTATTGGAACACAGTCATATCCACTCGTTGACATATGTCCCCTGGCTGCTTTTACACCGCAACAGCAGACTTACCACAGCAGAGACTTTAAGGCCTCCAACTCTGAAATATTTACTATGTGGCCCTTTACCGTTTTCACCATACATTAACTTTGCCTTATCTAGAACTTTTTACAAACAGAATTGTACAGTATGCACGCTTTTGCGTAGACTGCTTTCATTTGCCATGTTTTTGATATTCATCAGGGCCGCATATTTTTTTCTCAGTTGTGTAGCATTCCATTGTGGAAATATACCTTTTATGTTCATCCATTCTCCTGCTGATGGACATTGAATCACTTTTCGTTTTTTGGCTATTACAAATAAACCCGCTATATACTTGTGTAAGTTTTAGTTCTAAGAGTCACTTCTAAATACTGAACTGACCAGCGATGTGTTTGAAAATTCTTAATCCCTCGGATTTCAGCCCATGGGTCATCGCCTTAGAATCCTATAGTGACCATCGAAGGGAATCCTGTCTTTTTTTCTCTCACTTTCTTGCTTAACACCCTTTTTATTTGCTTTATAGCATTTATATTAACTTAAATTATTTGTTTACTTGTCTGTCCCTCTCCCCGCATTGTAAACCCCTTACTAGACCATAATAAGCTCCAAGAGGATATGCAATGTTTGGTTTACTCATTGCACCTAGCAAAGTATTATGCACAGTAGGTGCTCAACAAATAGTCGAACAAAATGATTCAATCTAAAAACATAAAATCACAGGTTGACAAGCTCACCAGTTACCACCAAATGCCTGTGTTCACAATATTCTCAGCAAAACACATAATCAGATAACACATTACAAGCACTTCCCCAAACCAAACCTAAATTATACCAAACGGTGGCCTTAATTCTGACGATATTCCCAAGCCTGATACTGGAGGAAGGCCAGGTTTTGGGGGTGGAAGGCCATTTAGAATTTGGTAGGTCAAATACCATTATATAGCCTACATGCTTCATTGTGACCAATAAAGGTAAATACACATAAAAAGTGTGGCCAGGAGGTACACGACTCAAGATGAAACGCATGAAACAGAAACTTATAAGTCATCCCAGCAAGTGGAATCCACTTAGATGTTTACCTAGTTAGCATCTGATAGAGCAAGCCCACGGGGGGCTCTGGCAGTGAACCTGCATAGGGTGAGCTTGGGCTGGTGGGGTACCAGGGACTTAGCTGGGGAAGAACCCTTGAGCTCTCAAGCCATGCAAAGACATAGAAGAAGCTTAAACACACATCACTAAATGAAAGAAGCCAGTCTGAAAAGGCTGCATACTGTGATTCCAGCTATACAACATTGTGCAAAAGGCAAATCTGTAAGAGACAGTCAAAAGATCAGTGATTTCCAGGGGCTTGGGGGAGGAGGAAGTGGGGAGAAGGGATGAACAGGTGGAGCACGGGATTTTTAATGCCGTGACACTACTCAGTATGTTACCATAGCGGTTGGACACGTCATCATACATTTGTCAGAACCCATAGAATGTACACCAAGTGTGAGCCGTAATGTAAATTATGGACTTTATAACAATATGTTAATATTGGTTCAACAAGATGTTAACGGGACACTGCAGAGGGAGGTATATCCAAAGGAATAGTACTCAGGAGAAAAAAAAATGAATGAGCTACTGATATACACAACATGAACAGATCTCAGAAATGTCATGTTGAACAAAAACACACTTAAATATAAGCACAAAAGTACAGACTGTAAAATTCCATTTATATGGAATTCTAAAAAGTCAAAACTGATCTACAGTGATAGCAGGTCCATGGTTGTCTGGGGCAAGCGCTGGGGGTGGGGTTTTCTGTAAATAAACACACAGTACTTTGGGGAGGTGATGGGACATTTTCACATCTTGATTGTGCTGCTGGCTGTCCGGGGGTACATATTTTCAAAACTCTTTAACTGATACACTTTAAAAGGGTGCATTTTATCATATCTCAATACAGTGGTTTTTAAAAACTCCTTTTTGAGCCTTGAAACAAATTTTTCAAATTTCTTTTATTAGAGATGTAAATGAGAAGGGGGCTATATAATGAATCTGACAAACCCAGTGACTGAGAGTAACCTCCCAGGGTGATCTGATCATAAACTCCTATCTGGGCAGGTCCTGGCGGTTACTCACTCCCCAGGCCAATTACAGGTTTATCTTTGCCTTCAGCCAGCCCTGTCCACTGCTCTTGTGCCTCTAGGTGAACACGCCTTTGAGACGCCAGAGTGATCCTCTTTTCCAGGCTCTTCCACTGGGTATTAACCTTCAAGGGGACACGCCTTGTCCACTATCCTGTAATCCAAACACACACCCACACCCTTTGCTTTCTCCCTCCGTCTTGTAATGTTCCTTGGGTTTCCTCCTTAATCCCAAATGTATAAAAGGAACTGCAAAACTGTCACTCTCTGAAGCATTTGAGGTCTAGCTTCCCGCATGTACTCAGTTTGGCTCAAATAAACTCAAACTCTTATAAAACTTCTCTACAAGTTTGGACTTCTTACATCAACAGAGAACATTTAGAAATGCTAAAGGGAACAAGGGTTTCCATATTTTTATCAGCGCTATCTAAGAGAGACACAAGATGGCGATATTACTCCAAGAAAGCATAGGTGTGAGATTATTTTTTTTTCTCCATCTCATCCTAGGTTCACTTTACAGTCCTTGAGTCTTTCAGTACAACTTGTCCTCAGCACTTTTTTCGCTGTTGGGTGTCTTTCCTAACATACTTAATTTTTGCCTATAGCTCCTTTAAACATCTTAGGAACTTTTAAAGAGCTTTTTGTTGTGTTTTGATTGTTGTTAGTAAAAGCCAAAATGGTAAATAGTTCGCAATCGGTAAGATATTTTGTTATTGGGGAGACATTAGTATAATTTGTTACTCACCGGTTGAGCAGCCTGAGGACTTTGCCCTGCCTCTAGAAGGGGCGCTGCAGGTGTGGCTCCGAAACAGCACTTTGATGTGCGTTGCAGACATTCCGCCGTTAGAGGGCAGCGCAGAAGCAGGCGCTGTGGTCCACACGCCTTGATGTGGGAGACGCCGGTGGGATTTGGCTGTTGGCCTGGGAGCGCAGTTTTTAAGTGTAGGAACCAACTAGATCTCTAACCAGATTATTGAAGAGCGCCAAGAGGCAGTCATTCTAACAAAAGAAAAAGGCAACAAGAAAACGAATGTGTTTCTAGAAGCCACCTATTTGATTCAGAATTTTTTGTATCACACATGATTTCTCAGTAATAAAGCAGTTCCTATGAAGGAGGCCTCTTGAAGATGACTTATCTCTGGACTGCATAGATACAACTACACGAAGACACAGGAGACAGAAGAAAAGGGGGCCTCGGCTGGAGGGGCGCTGACTCGGAAGAAGAGACGTCACCGGGTGAATGTCCCAGCTTTGTGACTTTTACCCTGAGGGCGGACCCCAGTCTGTGCCGTGTGGACAGAGAAAGCTGAGAGTCAACTTCATTTTACCGGCTGAAAGCAGCAGAGGGCAGAGTTCAGGGCCACCGCAGCAAGTGGAAAGTGAGGACGAAGGGACAAACAAGAGCCAGCGGGGAAAGCCTGGCTTCTGGCCGACCCCTCATCTGCGCTTATAGGAGGCGAAGGCGCCTTGGAGGAGCGGAGGCTGAGCCCTGGCCCGGACCCCGCACCCCCACGGAGCCCCTGCGCTGGGAACATGGGCGCCCTGGGTTCGCCCGGTTCTGGTCCTGCCTCCTGTCTGTAATGGCCTGAGCTTGTTTATAAAGCTCCCTGAGGTTTAGTCTGTTCTGCCCGATAACGAAGGAAACCACGCCTTTCTCCCAGGGTTATTTTGAGGATTAACAGAAGTAATGTGTGAGGTGCTGGCACACAGGAGTGTAGCCAGCCATTAGCTGCTCCCCACTTCTCTCTCGTGGCTTACAAGGAACCCTATGACTAATTCTCAACTCCTGAGATACATTCCCGTGGCAACCCTCCCAGCCGTCTTGAGACTCTGGTCCTGAGCATTTAGAAAGGTCGTGAGCCTGCTTCTGGTTATCGGTCCCCATTTTTTGATCCAGGATTGGAGAATAATCTGTCGCGTTTGTGCAGTGAGCACTAGGTTGCCGGACTCCCCAAAAGAAGCCCCAGTGTCTGTAGCCTCTCAGTAACTGGGACACTTACCAACGTCCCCCGAGTATTTCAGAATCGCTGGCTTGTCTAAACAGTGGCCTTTCTGACTCCCTATTTACTCTGGACTCTCCTCTCATTACCCTTTATTTCCTATCGCCTCTTCTTTTTCTCCACGGTTACTTGAGATCTTTTACACGCTTTTGAGTGATCACATGCACCAGTTATTACAAGGACAGCAGTCTCCGTCCTGGCATCACCTATGGCTTTTCTTCCTCCCGCTCCCACCGGATCAGCGCTCCTCTGCCAGTTTGTAGAGTCGCCTGTCTGGTCCTCTCGCCTCCATCTCGCCCGCATCACTGGTAGCCTCCCGACTGGTTCCCCTGCCTCCTTCCATTCACATTCCCTGCGTGCCATCTCTCCTCCAGATCCAAGAGTTAAGCTTTTAAATGTGTTCACCAGCTCATATCCATCTTTCACCTTAGCTCCTCTCCAGGCTTCTTATTGGAGTTCGAATAGAACTTGATCTCCCTGATTGCTTCTCTGCAGCCCTGAAACTCTTCTCTTTCGCTGTGGTCCTGGCGTTCCTCCTGCCTACC